CTTTTTCCCATCAAAACACAGCCCCTGGCTCTTCCTTTTCTCTCTTTCTTCTTCTCTTCTTCTCCTTCTTTTCTGTTCTCTCCACTCTCGCTCTCGCTCTCCTCTTGCTCTCCTTTCTCTCTCTCTCCCTCTCTCTCATTTGTCCCAAGGTAGCTACAGCAGCAGTGAAGGAAAAACAAAACTTTGGAATCTGAAAGATCTGGGTCTGAATCTGGCTCTGTCACTTATCAAAAAGTCAGCTATCTACTCAAGCGACGCTTGCGTATCAGAGCAGAACTGAGCTCGTTAGACCTTTCTTTTGTGACACTGTGGGTCAACAGTCAAGTGTTTAACTGTTTACACCACTCAGAGACTCTGTCACCTATTGTTGTTGTATTGTTGTTATGTGCCCTCCAGTCGCCTGCAACTCATAACAACCCTAGGAACAATAGTTCTGAACTCTGCTCTATCCTCAGCCAATCTTACCATCTCTGACACCACTTATACCACCCACCCACCGCCAACCCCGATACCCCAGTCACCACGTTGATCCATCTCATTCAGGGTCTTCCTCTCCTGCGCTGTCCCTCCATCTTTCCAAGCATGATGTCTTCCTCCAAGGACTTGTATCTCCTGGCAACATGCCCAAAGTATGTTAGACGGAGCCTCAAGATCCTAGTCTCCAAGGAACAGCTTGGTTTCATCCTCTGTAAGACTGGCCTATTTGTTATCTTAGTAGTCCATGACATGTTCAATACCCTTCTTCAGCACCACAATTAAAGGCATTGATTCTTCTTCTATCATCCTTAGCCATTGTCCAGCTCTCTGATTTATAGCAAGTAACTGAGAACACCATAGCTTGAATCAAGTGCACCTTAGTCTCCAGACTGACATCATTGCTCTCTAGCACTTTGGAGAGGATTCCAAGAGCAGATTTTCCCAGCACAATTTTTTTTTTCATTTCCTGACTTTTAGTGTCAAGAGTGCTGATTGAGGAACCATGCAAGCTGAAAATCTTAACAATCTCAATCTCTTTTCCATCTATCATGGTGCTGTCAATTGGCCCAGTGGTGAGAATCTTTGCTTTTTTGGTATTGAGCTTCAATTCACACTGAAGACTGCAGTCCCTGACCTGCAGCAAACACATCTGGTCCTCCTCAGTTTCAGCAAGGTTGTTGTGTTATCTGCATAGCACAGGTTGTTGATGAGTCTTCCTCCAACCTTGATGCCACATTCCTCTTCATGGGGCCCAGCCTCCCAGATGATCTTTTCTGCATACAGAATGAAAAGGTATGGAGACATACCTAATAATACATTCCTTTCTTGATTTTGAACCATGCTGTGTTTCCCTGCTTTGTTCTGATGACTGCTTCCTAGTCCAAGTATAGGCGTTTCAGGAGCACAATTAGGAGTTCTGGGATTCCCATTCTTCTTAAAGTTAGACACAGTTTGTTGTGATCCAGAGAGTCAAATGCCTTTGCATAGTCAATGAAACACAGATAGACATTCCTCTGGTACTCTCTGCTTTCAGCCAAGATCCTTCTGACATTGGTTCTGATGTCCCTAATGCCACTGCCTCTTCTAAACCCAACTTGTACTTTTGACAGCTCTCTGCTGATGTACTATTCCAGTTGTTTTTAGATGATCTTCAGCAGGACTTTGCTTGTGTGTAATGTTATTATATTGTTTGATAATCTCTACACTTTATTGGATCACCTTTTTTCAGAATGGGAATAAATATATATCTCTTCCAGCCAGTTGTCACCTATTAGCTGTGTAGATTTCAGGACTTCAAGTTGGTTTCAATCAATTCAATCATGGCCAGTGCCGCAAAATAGGAACAGAAAAGGAAATTAAAGGTTGAAGCCCTGGAAAAGAGGGACATGTAAAGGGTATAGTGAGCCCTTCTAGGAGCCGGATGCAGGAGACTGGATTGTTGTCCAGACTGTTGAGAGTGACACACGTTCGTTGTGTCCTGTTCAGGCACCATCTCTGAGCCGGCCACGGACATTTCCCAACTCTATCAACAGAGATATGTGGTTGCTATGCAGCATACACACTGCTCTGGTTCCTCTTAGGTTGATCACAGCCTCCAGAAACCCCCTCTAATCCTTTGGGGTAGAGGTGCTGCTGCTGTCCCTAAGCTCACCCAGCACTGTCCTCAAGGTTTCTCTAATTAACACAGGAACAGAGCAGGTATTTGCAGCCAGATCTAAGTTTCTAAAACAGGCAAACAACAGTCACTAAATACTAAAACCAATGTCCCTTTTGTTTCAGAAGAGCTCAGACAGTCCCCTAGTCCTGAGATTTTAAGAAGCCTAAGGAAAACGACGTGACGCAAAGAGGTAAACTGAGGCAACATAAAAAGGCAAGTTCATCCAGGGCATACCCATACGAGAGTGAAGGACAGGAAGGGAGTCTTGGCCCATCACCTGAAGCTGCATGAATATTTGCAATGTGTTCCCAGGTTAATGCAAAGGACAAGCAATGGGAAGGGCAGCCCTGACGTGTCCGCCAGCTGCCCCTGAGAACCCCAGGGATGAGAGCTCATCAGACAATCTGAGTGTTTCACTAAGGGCTTTGCCCCTCCCTGGGCTAACACAATGAGAGCATCCATCCTGGGAACCAGATCTGCTCTCTGATCACACCCGGCCAGCTCTGGGCCCGGAAACCAGGATCAGACATGGTCAGAGGCAGGCAGACGCTCCAAGGGGAGAGCCAAGTGACACCCTTTGTACTGGCTCCGCAAAATCCCCTCAGGGCATCTGCTTCAAGCATCCCAGCCAAACAGAAGCCCCTGCACAATGGACAGGATGAGCTGCTGGTCCCCTGGGAGAGGGGACAAGAGGCTGGGAGAGAGAGGCCGTCGGCCCCCCATCCGCTCCCTCCCCAGGCTGGAGCCCTGGCTGGCTGTCGTCCTGTGTCCAGAAAGCCGGAGCCCCATCTTCCACTTCCTGTCCCAGGGCAGAAGCAGGATGTCCCCCCTCAGGTCTATGGGCCCTGCGATTTCAGGGCTGTGGGTCTAACCTACACTCACAGCATGGAGAAAGATACTGTTTGGAGGACCTGAGGCCCTTATAGAAGTTCAGCCCTAACTATATCCAAGACCGTTTTCATTCCCGCTCCACCATGGAAACTAGCTGTGAGCAAATGAGCCACCTTCATAGGACCTTCAGAGCCTTCGAGAAGGAGGGTGTGCCCCCAGAGCCTCCAAGACGGAGGGTGTGCTCCTCCTCACCCAATTACGGCAAACTGTTGAGAGAAGAAGCATGGGCCTGTGGCTGGGAAGGCAGTGTGAGGTTGAGGCTGATTCTTGGTCAACACGGGGAGTCACGAGTAGAGGAAAAAGGTTAGAAGTCAGAGCATGTTCATTTGGCCAAGAGAGCTGGACTAGGTCATGGGCTTACCTTTGGTTAAAGGGCTCAGCTGAAAACCAAATGTTTGAATCCACTCAGAGGCACTTCAAAGCAAAGACATGGCAGTCCTTGTCCCCCCAAAACATCAGCCGTTGAAAACCCTCCAGAGCACGTTTTGCTCTGATACGTGGGGCTGTCCTGAATAAGACACCTTCACAGCAACTGGTAGTGGTTAATAAATGTCCCTGTTCTACCAGGTCTATTTTGAAATGGTTAAAACATCTGCTTGTTTCTCTCACTGACTATGAGTAAAGGCTTCAGCAGGCAGCTATTTTCATTTCTAAGTGACAGTTTTCCTCACAATGATCTTTAAACAAACTATAGGTCTCTAAGCAGGTCTATGAGCAGGCCCCCCTCACATACCTGAGTTCTCGGATGCAGCTTCAGCACCCACAGGCCCGTAGGGGTCCCTAGGGCTGCCCAGAATCTTCCCTGTCCCAGACCCCTCATCTCCCTCTCCTGCCCCTCCAAGATTCAACCTGGCCCTCACCTCAGCCTTCCACTAAGATCTGTGCCGAGCTGTGTGGTTTTAGGGGGGAGAGGCCTAGGGTTTCCAGAGAGGCCGGGTGGGTGGTCGAGTGCGGTGGGCGTGCTCATGATTGTGTTCCTTTTCCCACTCTGGAAACCTCTCTCAAACCACTCCAATCTGAAACCTCTGCTCCTAGTGTTCCAAACCACTTATGAGTCTTAAAGGGTAGAGAAACAGGCACCTCCCAACAAGGAGCCGGGAGCGGTGGACTTTCTGGCAGCCCCTCCAGTTCTCCGGAGCTCCTGTAATTGGAGCTGCTTCCCACCATCAGCCCCTATTGTACAGATTCAGACACTGTCAAGTGAAAACCCTGCCTTCTTTCCTCGGGTACCTATCTCAGCACCTGCTGACTCTCTGCTTCTCTCCTCGACGTCACACACTTCCACAGTCACAGATCATCAGCCAGGAGAGTAGATGTGACCAGTTAACTCTGACTGAAGACAAACCTGTGTGTGAGATTAGAATCGGGCTCCAGGGTATTTTTACCGACTGAGGACAAAGTCATTACCCTCAAAGAACTTACTTACATTTAGATACAGAGACAAAAAGTAACCAGCAAAGATTGACCATACAGCTAATGTAATACTTCCAGAGAACATTAATTGAGCACTCCATGTATTTAAACACTTTACACTTAGGTTTTCTTTTAACCTTTACAATAACCAAAAAACAGACACTAGTATGAAAATGTAGGGGCCTCCCAAAAGCCTTAGGGTCCTCCTTCCCAGGAGGACAGACCCTTGGAGGGACCCAGACTGGACATTTTCTCCAGTTAAGTAACCCCAGGGATGTCCTGTCAATTCCAAAGCAAGGGAAGATCTGGATCATACCTGACCGGGCTCTGAATGTGTTCAGAGGCTCCAGCGTTGGCCTGGGGCCACCTCAGCACAGGTGTCCATGGCTGAAAACCAACCACGGAACCTCATGTGGCCTGATGTCAGGTCAATGCAGGCCTCACTCACCAGAAGTCAGGCAACATACGCATGCCCGCTGGGCCCAGGAGCAGGCAGTGACTTCTCACACACACCCACCCCAGGAAGCGCCGGCCCTCAGCATCCCGAGACAGCAACACTCACAATGTTCATGAGGGTGAGGACGTAGCTCTGCACGTGCTCCTTGCCGTGGAAGCGCACCACCGAGTCGTCCACCGCCAGTAGCACCTCGATGCTGTAGCTTCCCGGCTTGGCATGGCGCCGTTTCCTCTCTGCATCGCCCAGCTGGTCCCCCACCAGGCCCAGCAGGTTGGGAAGGTCGCCCAGACCAAAGGCTGGAAGCAGAAAGGAAAGAGAGAGTTCAGACCCATCGGACGCGGCCTGCCAGTCCACTCGACCCTTGGCCGCAGCCACCCTGTCACATGTGCCACCTCCCTGCCGCTGTCACCAGCACAGTGAGGGCTGCACTCCACACCAGGGAAGGACAGGGTAAGATGCGATCCCTTTCCAGCACGAGGTCATGTCTGAGTCAGCAGCAGCAGAGAAGAGAGATCAACCCAAGGACCAGGAAGCCTGGGTGCCAGCTCTCACTGGGTCCTATCTCACAGAGAGTCCCCTTACCCTCTCTGAACCTCAGTCTCCTCTCCGTTTATGAAAAATAAATAATCCGTCATCACACAGGTTGCTTGTAGGATGCATCCTACAGAAAGCAACTGGTGGCCTAGTAGTAAGAACTGCGCTGCAATCCCAAAGGCACACAGTTCGATTCTACCAGCTGCTTTTTAAGTGAGGGATGGGCAATCTCCTCCTATGTGATTAATCGCCCCTGAATTCTCACTGGAGAGTCAGCTATGGATCAGTTCTGACTCAAAGGCAAACAACAAGGTGGAGGTGGGGGGAGAAAAGTATATCCGTACCTTTCAGTTCCCTCCTGGCCAAAGCCTAAAAGTCCATGGCCACAGCTGTGTCTTTTTTGGCTTAAAGCAAAATATTTAACTAGCATTACCAACTCATGCTATGTAAATCCAGGCGCTGGCAAGCGTTTTCCAGAAAGGATCTGACAGCAAATAGTTCCAGCTTTATAGCCCATATAATCTCTTTTGCAACTGTCCAACTCTGCTGTTGAAGCATAAAAGCAGTCAAGAAATAAAAAGCTAAACCAAAAATCCATTACTGTGTAGTCAATTCCACCATAGGGACACTATGGGACAGAGCAGAATCACTCTACGGGTGCTCAAGGCTGTCATTTGTAGACCAAGAAGCAGTCGTTCAAATAGAACAAAGGGATACTGCATGGTCTAAAAGTGGGAAAGGTGTGTAAGGGCTGTATCTTTTCATAATATTTATTCAATCTATGGTTGTTAGGTGCCATCTAATTGCCTACAACTCCTATAACCCTACGAACAATGGACCTGAACTCAGCCCTATCCTGTGCCATCCTTATCAACTCGGAAATGCTCAAGACCACTGTTAGAATCACGTGTCGATCTATCTTGTTGAGGATCTTCTTCTCTGCACTGACCCTCTATCTTCCCAAGCACGATGTCTTTTTCTAAGGAGTAGTACCTCCTAACAACATGTCCAAAGTATGTGAGACAAGGTGTCACCATCTTTAACAACTTATCATACGCAGATGTTACCACCTTGCTTGTTGAAAGTGTGGAAGAGGAAGACTTAAAGCATCTACAATGAAGATCAAGATTAGTATAGCCTTCATGATTAATTATACCTTAACAGAAAAAACAAAAATCCTCACTAGTGGGCCAATAAACAAGATTGTGATAAATTAAAAAACTGAAGCTGTCAAAGATTGCATGCTACCTGCATTCACAATCAACACCCCTGGAACCAGCAATAAAGAAAGCAAATGACGTGGTGCACAAATAGGCCTCTGTAATGTGTAAAAGAGCAAAGATGTCACTTTGAGAACTGAGGTGTGCCTGGCCAGGCCATGGTATTTTTCAATTGGCTTATGAGTGCAAAAACTAGACAATGAATAAAGAAGACTGAAGAATAAGTGATCCCTTTGAAATGTAGTGTTAGCAAAGAAAATTGCATATGTCATAGTCCATCAAACAAGTATCTTCAGAGAACCAACCAGGACGTTCCTTAGAAGCAAGGCTGTGAGATTTTATCTGACATACATTGGACTTTATCTCACATGCCATTGAGATAAGCCAGTCTCTGGAGAAGGACATCCTTCTGGTTGTTGTTGTGTACCACTGGGTCGTAACTGACCCACAGCTAAACGTCTAGCAGGTTTTTGGACTGTAAAGCACACTGGAGGAGACTAGCCATCTTTTTCCCATGGAGCAGCTAGCGGATTCAAACCACCTACCTTTGGGTTGGCAGTACACTTCCTTACCACTAAGCCAAAGTTGAAGGTCACTGAAAAAGAAGGCGGCCCTCAGCGAGATGAACTGAAACAGCGGCTGCAACCATGGGTTCAAGCATAGCAGCAACTGTGCGGATGATGCAGGATCAGGTAGTGTCTCTCACGGCCGCACTCGGAGTCACGGTGTGTCAGGGCCAACTGATGGCTCTTAAAACCACAGCAACCTTGGTGGAAGCCAACTGCCACATCATCCTCCCAGCATCTGGTGGGTTCAAACCGCTGACCTTCCAGTCAGCGAGCAAGCACTTAACCACTGCGCCACCAGGATTCCTTATGTAGGCACAGACAACATATGAACAAATGACTGATGCTGTGTGTTACAATAAAATGTGATTTATAAAAATATGTGACAGTCCATAGATCATTTTATCTAATCCTTACAATTGAATTTGGTTATGCAGCTTGTCAGTAACAAGATGAGATTTTTCAAGGTATTAAGTTACTTGTCTGGTCTGTTTAAGTGAAAGCTCATGGCTCTGGATGATCACCATCTTTAACTGTCAGTCCCTGTTAGAATGTGCATACACGTGGGGAAGGTAAAACCTTAAACTGCCATCAGTCCTTCACACCCTAGTCTGAATGAAAAGCTGAGCAGGACTGGTGGTGACAGTGGAGTGAGGATGCATGAGGACACTGTTGGAAAGGAAAGGGCTCCAAAGACTAAGAACGCAGGAGAGGAGGATGAGCCTTCTGAGAAGGACTTCAAAGCCTTAGTACTCAATGACCTGCCCATCCTGGAGATTAGATATGTATATTACTAATTTCTAGGGAGCTCTGGTGGCCTAGTGGCAAGAAGCTGTGCAGCGGTCCCAAAGGCATGTGGTTTGAGGTCACCAGTTATTCTGCAGAAGGATGGGGAAATCTCCTCCCATGTGATTACTGTCTCTGAAAACCTGCCAAAGGGTCAGCTATGAGGTGGTTCCAACTCTGTGATATACAACAACATTATTAATCTCTAAAACCATTATCATTGATTTCACATGCAAGCAAGATTCTACTGAAGAGTATCCAAAAAAGACTGGAACAATGCATCAGCAGAGAACTGCCAGAAGTCCAGGCTGGATTTTGAAGGGGTTGTGGTACTAGGGATATTGTAGGTAACGTTAGATGTATCTTGGCTGAAAGCAGGGAATACTAGAGGAACGTATATCTGTGTTTCATTGACTATGCAAAGGCATTTGACTGTGTGGATCATAACAAACTGTGGCTAACTCTGAGAAGAATGGGAATCCCAGAACACTTGATTGTTTTAATGAGAAATCTATACTTGGACCAAGAGGCAGTGGTCAGAACAGAGCAAGAAAACACTGCATGGGTCAAAATTGGGAAAGGCATATATCAGGGATGTGTCCTGTCTCCATACCTTTTCAACCTGTATGCAAAACAGCTTACCCGGGAGGCTGGGCTCTATGAGGAGAAATGTAGGGTCAAGATTGGTGGAAGATCTATCAACAATCTGATCTGCATTATGCAGATGACACAACCCTGCTTGCTGAAACTGAGGAGGACCTGAGGCGCTTGCTGCAAAGGGTCAAGGACTGCAGCCTCCAATATGGATTGAGGCTCAATGTCAAGAAGACAAAGATTCTCACCACTGGGCCAATTGGCAGCATCAGGATGAATGGTGAAGAGATTGAGATTGTTGACAGCTTTAGTCTGCTTGGCTCCACAGTCAACACTCTTGGCAGCAACAGCCATGAAATTAAAAGATGTATTGCAGTAGGAAAGTCTGCTGTTAGGGACCTCTCCAAAGTACTGAAGAGAAATGGTGTCTCTCTGGAGACTAAGGTGCGTCTGATACAGGCCATGGTCTTTGCAATCACTTGTTATGCATCAGAGAGTTGGACAATGACTAGGAATGATAGAAGGAGAATTGATGCCTTTGAGCTGTGGTGCTGGAGAAGAGTATTGAGGGTAACATGTACTGCTAGGAAAACAAACAGATTCTTCCTGGAAAGGGTTAAACCTGGTGGCTCTTTGAAGGCAAGGATTCTGAGGCTCCATCTAATATACATTGGACATGTTGTAAGGAGGGCCCTCTATGAGGAGGATTGATTCAGTAACTGGGGTAATCGGGGTGGGTGTATTGGAGACGGTGCAACTGGCATGGGACAGAGCAGAGTTTAGGGCTGTTGTACAAAGGGTCGCTATGAGTCACAAGAGACTCGATGGCACATAACAACAACAACAACATCCATAAATATTTGAGCTTATACCAGGTAATGGAGCCAGGTGAAGAAACATTCTCTGCACGTATCAAAGGGTGTGGCTGCAGGAAGGGTGCCATATGAATTAGGTGAAAGATCATGAGTGAGTCACCAAAGTGGGATCCCTGCCCTTGGGTAACCCTTAGTCTAACAGAGGTTGCTGTTGTTGTTATGTACCGTCGAGTCGCCTGCGATTTATAGTGACAGCCCTAAACCCTGCTCTATCCTGTGCCAATCTCACTGTCTCCGACACATCTACCCTGATTACCCCAGTCACTGAATCAATCCACCTCATAGAGGGTTTTCCTCTCCTGCACTCTCCCTCCACCCTCCCAAGCATGATGGCCTTCTCCAAGAACTTGTCCCTCTTTGCAACATGCCCAGAATATATCAGACAAAGCTTCAGAATCCTTCCTCCAAGGAGCAACCTGGCTTCTCCCTCTCCAGGACGAACTTGTTTGTTTTCTTAGCAGTCCATGGTATATTCAATACTCTTCTCCAACACCACAGCTCAAAGGTATCAATTTTCCTTCTATCATCCCAAGTCATTATCCAGCTCTCTAATGCATAGCAAGTGATTGCAAAGACCATGGCATGTATCAGGAGCACCTTAGTCTCCAGAGTGACATCATTGTCCTTCAGTACTTTAAAGAGGTCCCTAACAGCAGACTTTCCTACTGCATACATCTTTTAATTTCCTGGCTACTGGTGCCAAGAGTGTTGACTGTGCAGC